AGGGGTAGTTTCGCGTAGGTCCCCCTACTCCCCTTCAGGGGTTTCCAAAATTTCGAAAAAATTCCCGTGACTAACCGTGACCAAGCTCCAGTCACGGTCACGGTCACGAACGTTCACAAGGTATTGTTCACGGTCACGGCCGTGATCGTGATCGTGACCATGACTGCCGTGAGTCACGGCGGTCACGCCAGGCACTAGTCAGTACCTGGTTTAACAGATATCTGTTATAGTAAAGACAGAAGTACGATCATTTCCAGAAGGTGAAATTTTTCAAAGTTTGATCAAGTTGACACAACCAGCATCGATTCTGCATTTATCTGGTTGCTTACTCTTCGTCGGAACAAAGTAAAAGGAATTTTTCTTTCAATGTTATTTATTGTTTATTCCTTTTCTTTTTGCAAAGAGATTTCATACTCACAATGATAGATTTAAATGATAAATCATTAGAGAACATAAAATATTTTCCTGAACACAATGCACCAATTCTTGATTTAAATGCATATGTCGAGAAACAGTTGGTGGTTAGAAACTGATTTCTTACGCTTGATTTCGATGAAATTCAATCTTTTTAGGCAACATATTCTAATGATTGTATTCGAATTTTCAATATTATTAATAAAACATTAAATATGTGGATCGATGTTTATAGAGAATCGAATAATATTCAGTAAGTTTTAAGAAATGAACTCTTCTTTTCGCGGAAAATTTTTATAAATTTTGATTACATACATTATCTGTAAAATTTGATTGGGACAAAATAGATGAAGTGCATATTAAAAATTTTTCTTATAGAGATTTTATTTCGTATATTTCTAGGTTCTTGCACTTCCAATACTGTTGAATTTCATTTCATCGATCAATGGACGTTTGAAAACAATTTGACTAATGTTTGTTTTTCTTTCGACTGGATAAGTACGTTTTGCATTGAATTTGTTTTTTCAGATAATCAATCGAATTTGTTTTAAATCCAGTCAATTGTTATTTGTTTTCGACCGTGTTGATGGTGTAATTGCACTGGTTAACAGGGTTTCTCTTATCATTTTGATGAGGTTCGAAAAACATTTGTTTTTTTAAGCTTTTTAAAAATTTATATTTACAGCTTTTCAACACAAGAGAATGTTTTTAAAATTATTTGGAACAAGTTCGGATTCACGTATGCTAATATGAGCGTAAGTCCTTTTTTAAATATTTCTTTATTGGATTGAAGGATTTCATTTTAGGATAATCTGTGTACAACAAATGTTACTGAATATTTACGATTAAAAACGTCACCATCACCCAATATTATTATTCAACAAAGTCGTGAACGAATAAAAGAACCACGTGATATGTTGATCATATATCTTCAATATTATCTTATAACTAAACAGTTTCTCATGTGAAAAAACATGAAGTAATGAATATTATTCAATGGCGTTTCGTATTTTTTTTAAGAATAATTTTGAAATTTCACAAGAAGGAGAAAATCAATATCAATTCGTGAACGATCCTGTTGATATGAAGCTTACAATATTTCAAAATAGGGAAGATCTTCATGTATATTCTGATGTAAGTAAACAAATATTTTACAGAAGAAGGAATTACCCGACCTGACACCAGTCGCTTGTGTTTACAGTGAGTCTAGAAGAAAGTCTCGGTAGGACTAGAAAAATCAAGAAAGAGTTCACCCGATGAGTAGAGCCCGTCGGGTAGGACACGAATCGATCGCGAAGTAAATTTGGAGCTGCTGACAAGGGAACGTTTCCAGGTGTCCGAGAGCTTTACAGTCGGGAGTCACTGCATCTTGTAGACCTTAGTGAACTATATCTACCTCACGTAATGCAAGAAAACGGAAACGTGTCTGATATTCAGAGCTGGACAAGTCAAACAAAGATTTTTCAACTCCAAGTTAAGTTAAGTCTGACTTGACTTAAAAGAACTTTAAGCTCCTCTGACTTGATTGACTGGCTTGAGTAAAATGGTTTGTACATTTGATTTGCTTGACTTGTTCAACTCCGTCGAAACATCTAGTAACAATCTTAATATTAAATTTCTGTATCATGTGAGATTCATTCACGAATATTATGATCAATGTTTTATTAAGAATTGAAGTTGAAATAAAACTAAATGCAAGCCAATGAATTTGAAATAGTCAAAACCTTTTACAGTGTGACTCGTCAAAGGTAAATAAGTCAAGTCAAAAATTCTTCAAGTCCAACTGAATTAATGTCTATTCAGACTTCATTGGTGACTTGAAAAACATTTGACTTGCCCAAAAATAGAAGATCTTCTCTAACATTCTCTGTACTTTGACAACAAAAGATGATTCGGGGTCGTCTATTGTGAAGAAGGATTTAGCAAATTTTATTGAGAATATCGAAGCCCGGTTTCAGGCCTGGATACGAAAAATTTCAATAATTGGGTGTGTGTCCAAACGTTTTGGACCTAGTAGTCTCTATTTATGGGCTTTTTGAGGCCAGCTTTGATCATTTTACCGAATTCGCAACCAATTTCTAGGTGTTTACTGTACAATGAAGTAATAGTTTCGACTTGCACTTCTTCATAATGATAAGCTTTATGGCTCTTAGAATATCCCTCAAGTTTCAGAAGAAAAGAGTTTTCTATTGAGATACTGAATTTCTAACGACCAGTCACTTGCTACAGACATGCTACAAAAATTAAGTTTACTGATAAATTGAAGATTTCGAAAAAGAAACATTTTTTTTCGTCGGAAACTTTCTGCATATTCTAACAGTCATCGAGTCTATCCATGGGCAAAATCCACAGATCGAAATTTTCTTACTTCATTGTTTAATAAATACCTAAAAATAGGTTCTGAATGCAATAAAATGATTGAAACTCGGTTTCAGAGACTTTGGGTACGAACTATTATCTGACTTTTGTCTTTTTACCGCGGCTTTTCCGCGGGCTCAATATTAATTCAGATGATGAATATCAGTTCCAGAAGCTGCATCATCAGAATTTTCTAAGGTGACTGATTGAAACACTTAGACAGCTCAAGATCATTTTTTTTCTAGTGTAAACATTCTAAATTTCATTCCAAGAGGAAGCTTGAAGTTAATATGTATGTAAAATTCGTTAATGGTGATTTTGAGTAAGTCAATAACTTGCTAAATTAACATTATTTTTATTTTTGTTTTAGGCTTCGAAAGAAATCAAGAATAAATTCAATTTTCAATGACAACTATAAACAAATTTTTAAATTTATCGCAGAAAAACGCTTTAAATGAACCAAAAGTTACTGATGATAAAAATAAATTAATAAACTACGATGATGATGTATACATTGATTTAAAAACACCATTAAAAGAGACGCTTTTTTGTGAAATTTATTTTTTCCTACTCTAATAAAGTAACATCAGTTAATAGATGAAACGAAATACTTGTTTTATTCCATGAAAAGAGCCAAGTACTGATCGGCTGATAGTTTCTATTTGATTAATACATTGGGTGAATGAGAAATATTATCATGATTTGTCTAGATTGAACAAGAATAAAATTAAATGACAAATAAAAAGTAGATATTGTCTTGTGATAGATTAATAAACGTAAGAGTCTTTATGAATATTTTTGTAGGAAATTCTTGTACTGCCTTTCAAGATCTCAATACTTTCGAGGTGCATGTTGAACGTTGATTAATTTGGGGCGGAGATATGTGTAGATCTCTCTGGTTTTTAATCCCCCACATTCATATCGACATCCTCCAATATTTTTTACATATATTGATGGTACAGGAATTTGTTCAAAAATAGTCACTTTAAATAATCGAAGTCCAATGGGCAAAAATCCTGTCTTATCCAGCTCATATATTTCTGAAATTATAATTACATCAATATGTATATGTGTATTTATTTACAAAATGGCTATTTAGATATTTTAGGTTTCCAAATAAACGATTTCGATACAGGAGTAGTTATTGGTGTTGGTGATACTCGTGTAGTTTGTGTGTCATCTGTTGCTGTATTTAGATTATCTGGTACTGAAATTGATCGATTTGGTAGGTCTTTTGAACTATTCTCAGTAGTTGATGATGAAGATGATGAAAGACGAGTTTTTTTCGTTGTTGTTTGTTGCTGTAACTCACTATCATCACGAGTAGATGATATAATTGTTTGTTCTGTTCGGTGACGATTACTTTCACGAGTTTTCTAATAAAGAAAACAAAAATTTAAAGAAGAGAAAATGAAATAAACTTACTGTTGATAACCTTGTCCAAAGATCAGCAGTTCTAAATAAAAAAAAAAAAAAGCAACTAGAATTATAATAATAATTAAAAGTTTTAATATCAACTTTTCATTTTGATTTTCTACAGTTGAAGAACGTTCATTTATTTTTCTTGGACGAAGACGTCTTGGTGATGTTGATTTTTTTGTATCTACTGTCACTGGAGATGGTGTTCTTGATCGTTCATTTATTTCTAAAAATAAAACTTCAACAAATTGTTTTTCAAACAAAATAACAGAAAAAAAAAACTTACTTTCAGTTTGTTGTTGTTGTTGTTCAATCATAGGGGAAGGTAATGATGTTTCATATTCTGGTGATATATCACCAACTGTAGGAGCTGTTTCCATTGGTGCAGAAGTTGCACAAGGTGATGATGGTGTATCGAAATGTTCTTGTTCAAAACTTGTTGATGATTTTAATGAACGAGTCTTTTTTGTTTTAGAAATTGTCTATAATGAATTTTTATGAGAAAATTAAAAATACATGCCGAACGAAAATAATTCAGAACTTCTACATTTTCATCTCTGATTTTAAAATTAATAATTCATACGCTGCTGATGATGAAGTAGTTATCGTCTTCAGTGACTCAAAGCAAAAAAAAAGTAAGTATTCGAACTGTCATTACGACCTGCTTCATTCCACTTACAACAGCGCGTCAAATCATGACTGAATATCTCCCATTGAAACCGTGCACAGTGGACTATTTCTTATAATTTTTGATGGTCCTCCACCATATCAATTTCACAAAAGCTTGGTACAGAACATACTATCATATTATTAAAAAAATTCGATTAAATCACTTGAATTGTGTAAATGATAGTTATGGTATTTGAACTTTGATTTCATTTTCGATTATTTTTTTTTTTGTCTCTTTACTGAACAATCATGAGACCTAATATAATTAAAGCGTATAATAGACTTACAGATGGTGGTGGTGATGGTGATGATGGTTCTGTGATGTCAAGATCACTGAAAGAAAAATATGAATAGATTTTTAGAACCAAAAGAAAATTGTTTATTTATTACCCTGTTTCAAATTGTTCTTTTGAATATTTTGGATTAGGTCGACGAGGTCGTAATTTACGAGTATCTGCTTCATTTGATGTTGATATAGGTAGAACATCGTCGGCTAAAAAGTTTTAACAAATAAAAAACTATTAAATTGTTTCCAATAAAATTATTATACATTTTTCTTCAGATATAATTTTATGTTGTATATCATCGGTTTTAATCTTTTTCTTTTTTATATTTGTGTTTAAACTTTCATCATTATGTTCTTGTAGATGTTTTATTTTTCGTGGAATTTCTGTATTTGTTGGAAGTGTTAATGGTGATGCAATACGAACAATTGGTGGAGGAGGTGATGGACTTAAAGATATATTTGTACGTTCATTATCAATTGATGGTGGTGATGGAGAAATATCGACAAGTTCATTTGGTGAATGTAACGGTGATAAAATATGATGTTTTTTTTCTTCTTTAATAGAATTTGTTAATGATTTATTTTTATTTGATATTGATAATGATGATGATGGAATTTTCTTTTGAACAATGTGTGAAGATTGTGGAGTTTGATTTGTTTTAGAAGAAATTTGTTCTTGTTTTATTGATGGAGATGTTTTTTCTTGATTTAAAGATTGTTGTAAAGTTGTATTTGATTGTGTATATGGTGTCGTTGTTGGACGATAAATATGAGTTCCACCTATAATAAATTAATAAAAAATAATTTTATTCTTAAAAACAAAATTTAACCTATAGAATTATAAACATGTTGAATATGATCAGAAACAAATGATGATAGACGTGGTTGAACTAATTGTTGTTGACATGTTTGCATATATTGATTAACAAGTGATGGTAATGTATCTTTGATTAAATTTGATCTATTGGTTTTTATTTTTATGAAAATATAATAAAAGATAGAAACAATATATGTGTAAAGTGAAACTACATTTGTCTATACATATTAGGGCATACAAATAGTTGCATTGTGTTGTAAATAAGTTCATAAATTTTTTGAACAAGGAAATGAAGTTAATGTTTTATAACTAACAAGAATCTAAACTTATGTCCATTTAATGAAATTTTATTCTTATGATATTAGTTCAAGAATGATTTAATATTAGGAAGATGTAAGGCATTAAAATATATCCGACACTACTTTTCATATATCTTAAGCATTTGTAAACTTACGTTTCTATATGACGACGTGCTCTTTCACGTATATCAGATTTTTTTAATGATGAACTCCATTTATGTTCAGATAGATAAGATGACATTAAAGATTCAATTTGAGATTTTAAATCTAAATATGATGACTAAAGAAAAATAAAATAAACAAATGAATGATTAAATAAAAATTCTTTATGAAAAAAAAAAACAAAACAAACCTTTTGTTCAATATCAGATATTAAATCACGTCGAATTGAATCAAATAAACCGTCTGCTTTAACTTTACGCATAACATCATGAAGAATATAAGATTCTGACATTATTCTAAAATATTTAAAAAAAACTTAAAATCTACTGATGTTTATAGTTTTTATTTTTGTTTAAAACAAACAAAAATGACAAAATTAAAGAAAAAAAAAAGAACACTTCTTTTTCTGTCTTTTAACAACGAATAGCACTTCCAATAGCCATAAATGTTCCAAAAGTTCCACCTGCTGAAATAACTGATTTACCAACGATTGAAATAAATTCACGACCACGTAAACCCTGTCTTAAAAAACAAAACAAATAAATGAAAATTAAAATTCTATAATCATATACCTTAAAGCAGTAACACCACCAAATACAATTCCAGTGACCATACCAACTGTAAAACCCATAGTAAAACCAATTTTAACACGATCAAAACAACTTGGTTTGTTCATTTGACCACCACTTCTATAACCTGCTGGTACAGCTGGCATCTTGAGAAGATGAAAACTAATTTGATATAAAAATAAAACGTATGTGAATATTAGATAACTGTTGGAATTTTTCTTTTTTCTCTTGAATTTAATTTAATAGAAAATCTATCAATCAAAATCAATTCGAATAGATGTCTCTACTACACACTTTAAATGACGGTCGCAGCAGTACTGAAGACAGATCATTATCGATATATGCTGTTCTCGATGTTTATTCAAATATCAATATCGAGATGCGGAAGTTACTATATTATATTTCGTTGCCTGGCATGAAGTGTTGTTAAAAATGTTCCGCAACAGGACAGTAACGTTTGGTGCACCTCACGATTAGACGTTTTTTCTCATTTCCAGTCGAATAATACAATTCGTATGCCGCCGTTTATGTTGAAATACGACACATTGACGGGATCGTATTACACCGTAAATACAGGATCAGTAATACGTCCATATGTGTTAACTTTTATTATTTCTGATGGGAAACGACCCGAAGTCACTGAAGAAATTGGAAGAGACATTCCGGTCCGCAATACTATTTCTACGTTTCATTGATTTCTGGTGTTTTTATGCTGGAGTGGGCTCGTACTTCTTGGTCTAGATAAATGAGAGTTTTCATTTTCGTAAATCGTCATTTAAACCTTTGTATTTCTCGTCTTAAAGAATTTTTGACAGGAGGAATATTTAATGAACAGCTGGTGATGGGAGTGATTTGTTAGATATAGTGTTAATCTCTGATAAATGTGTCATACTCAAGAAAATGAAAACATATACATCTTATAAATATCAAGATCGAAAGTTCAGCCCAATTATTTCAATAAATATATAAATTTTAGACAAATTATAGTTATTGATTTGAAACTCTGTAAAAGGATTATTGAAGTATAGGGATAAAAATTTGAACTCCTTTCCCTTCACAAACTATAGCAGACATTGTTGATATATGTATGTATATGATGACAGACCAGGGTTTCTTATTAAATATGATAAACTAACTTGAATGTTAAATTGAAATGTATGAGTATGTCGAATAAATAGATGTGAATAATTGTATACAATCTTTGGTTTTTTGTAAGGTCATATCAATCATAAATCTTTTACAGCTGTTCGATAAATAACATTCTCCAAGAATAGTGCCTGTCTTTTTCGAGCATGTCAACATTGTTTTTGTTATTTTCTAATGATTCAGATAAACCAAAACTAATAAGAATATCAAACTAGATGGTCTATGCGAATCGATTCATTGCCTAATGTAGTTAACATAAGGCATGGTTTTGTTGTTTGTGTATTTTTTAATATATTTTGTGCGTGCTTCTTTCATCATATATATATTTATATCTTTCTTATTATATTTTCCTTAACTACTTACAACAACTACTAAATTAGCTAAGTTATTCAGATTTATTTCTGTCTGTCTCTGCTCCATTCGTCTTTGATTACCTTACTACGTGTTAGATACATATAAAAATGAATGTAAAAGTCTTACGTTAAACAGAAACGAAGAAGAAGAAGGAAACAGAAACCAACAAAGGGAAAAAATTGGTTATCTTACAGACGACTGGCTAAGTACAATATCGATATTATTAATTAATTTTTATCTTTTCATCCCTATTTCAGTACAGACAATGAAAAATAATTGCAAATAATGAAAGAGCGAACAGACAATTGAAAAGAAGTGACATCAGATAACATAAATTACTCAACACGGACATAAATATAAAGGTTATATTTGTCCATGTGTTTTCTACACTGTCGATTTTAAATCAATTGATGAAGATATATTTGAAGCATCCATACAAAAAACCATTAACAACAATATACTATTCGTCTTCAGATATTTTGAGTCATTTTTCATCATATGTCAACTTCCGACAACATATTATACAGTCATCAACAAAACAACAACGTGTATTATCATTGTCTCCGCCATCACCAATAAAACATGTACATACAGAAAAAGATAGTCTAAAGTCACAATGGCTTTCTGATAGTTTATTGCATGAGCAACAACCATCGAACACCAAGTTGACTAAGGTAAATGGAAAAATCATAAAACTGGAAACACATACAAAACGCTATACACCTATATATATATATGTATATGTACTTAGAGACTGTTTATTTGGATCATAGTGAATTATTATACTAGACATAATGAGATCTCTTAGCACTTTTCCCGAAATATTGAATGTTAATATTATTGGATTTTGTTGACGTATCCTGAAGATAAAAATAGATTGTTCTATATAACATTAGAAATATGTCATTAAGCAATTTTCTTCTATGTTTACTTTTAATTTATCATTATGATGATTTGTTAAAATACTACGCAAAAAAGAAAATCAGACTTTCTATTTTTATCTTCTGTAAATTGCACCGATCTGATACATATATGATTTATTGCCGTAGATTTATTGATTGATCAGTCTGTGAATCGATACATCGTTTCTAGACAAAGAAATGCATACGATAAACAGAAGAAATCGTCCATATACAAACAACTGTCTGTTCTTTTTTTTTGAAAGATAATAATCAAGTATGAACTCTTATCGGATGTGTATGTTTTTTTTTTTCTTTTGACCAATATCCTATGATCCAATCTTCAATAACAGCAACAAAATAAGCACTTCATTGTATGTATGTATATATATATTAGGGAGGAAGGAAAAAAACTAAGTTGTATCTCTATAGTACCATAACATTAGAAAGAAACGCCATACTAAGTGATAAATTGGAGGGCAAAAAATAAGACAACATGCTACCCGCATCTAACATCTGCACGATAGGGTAGAACGCCTACTACACAACCGAACGCTAACATATCAAAATAACACACTATACATAAAGAAGGAAAACTATCATAAAGCACGATGAGAAAAAAAAATGCATACAAAAGAAAAAGAGCATATTCTTATTTGCACTCTTCGTGATGTCTTTTTTTTCTCTTGGTTTATCTATAATGGCGTCGATTATACAATATGAAACCTGTTGATTTGTTGTTGTTGTTTAACAAATAATAACTATATCAGAAGGCAAGAAGTTTAAAATGCTTGATTAATTTTCTCAATTTTCTTTCTACTATTGACAAAATCAAGAATTTTCGGTTTTTTCTTTTTTTGTTTTCGACTGAATGCTTTTTAATGACAAATAAACATAGAGAACATACATGAAGAAAATACGGCGAAAGCATCAAATAACATCATTAGACTAGAAAACCATTATGAATATATATATATATATATATTCATTATATTCTTTTATATAGAATCGGCCGTTTTCTATCCCGATGGCATCACCAAATATTGATAAAGGTCGATGTTTGCGTTACAAGTCAGATTTACAGGTTTGTTATATTAAATCAATAGATAAAATTATAATATTTTATCTAATAGAAGAAACCGCTTCTTCAACCGACATCGACAATATCTATAGACGAACAACGTCATAGTTCAATGTCAATATGGATTTCTGTTTCTCTACTTCTTCTTCTTATATTATATATCATTTATCGACGTCGTCAAAATAAATTCAACGAAAATGAAGAAAATGATGAACATGTAGAACAAACTTCAGAAGAAATTATTCATACATGTGAACCATCAGAATGTCGTTTACCAGTTGTTCAATCATTACCAACCATAGTTGAAGAAAATCAAGTTATATTAAACCCATCAAATTTAAGTCACAATTTTCCTTCAACTAATACAACATCTTCAAATATATTAGGTAAAGAAAAGAGAAAAAAAAAGATTTTTCTTTCTCTGTCAAAAACAAAACTCACAAAATATCAATCGTTATCTATTCCTTATTATAGATGATAATGACAGTAACCATACATCATCAACACTTTTACGTCAACGTAAGACACCAAAAACGGATATTGATGAGATGGATGATTATGTTCAAATACCTCCAATAATACAAGAAAAGCTTTATTATAGAAATAAAGATTCAACAAAACTAGCCACTGAATTATCATCAATAACAAATGAAACTGGTCATCCAGTAATATTTCGTAAGTTTCTATCGAAAAAAAAAAACAGAATTAATTAAAATAAAGTAAATATTTTAGGAAAATTTTGTACACCACATGAAAATGCAATTAAAGATGATTTTACATCGATAGAAGAAATAAATCAAGCTGTTAAAGATGTTGGTCTAGTTCGTTCACAACTTATTTTTGGTATAGATTATACAATAAGTAACCTAGAAACAGGCAAACATTCATTTAATGGACTTTCATTACATCATATACAAGAAGGATTGCTTAATCCGTATCAAAGTGTAAGATAAATTTCAAAAGAAAAGAAAAAACCAAACATTGCCTTTTTTTTCTATTTATTATTTTAGGTTATAACTATCGTTGGACGAACACTAGAAAAATTTGATTCTGACTTTTTAATACCAGCATTCGGTTTTGGCGATCGAACAACACTTGATAGAAAAATATTTCCTTTACGTGTATGTTTATTTTTCTTACTATGACTCATACTTAACATTCTTTTTTTCGTGTTAAATAGTCGGATGGAAGTTATTGTAGAGGCTTTCGTGGTGTACTTGAAGCCTATAATAAAATTACTCCGAAAGTACGCATGTCTGGACCAACTAATTTTTCACCATTAATTAAAGAAGCTATTCGAATTGTGAAGAAAACAGGACAAGTAATAACATTGACAAAATAATTTCGAATATTGATTCGTTTTTTTTCTTCTCTTTAGTATCATATACTTGTTATTGTTGCTGATGGTCAAGTTACGAATGAAAGACAAACAAAAGAAGCTATTGTTGAAGCAAGTCGTTATCCATTATCAATTGTTATGATTGGTGTAGGTGATGGACCTTGGGATATGATGAAAGAATTTGATGATTCATTACCAACACGACAATTTGATAATTTTCAATTTGTTAATTATAATAGTGTTGTACAAGCATCAATCGATACAGATGCTGATTTTGCTTTACATGCACTTATGGAAATACCATCACAATATGCAGCAATCAAAAGACTTGGCCTTCTTAAAGACAAAACATTTTCATAGTCAGTTTTCTTTTCATTTGAGCATATGTTTTTTTTTTCTTCTTTTTCTTTTTTTCTTAAAAGTTTTGCCAATGAAATTAAAAAAAAAAATACACACACATATAATCACCCAAAAAAAAAAACATGTATATATAATATTTTAGATTAATGTTTCTTGTTCTTTAAGGTCGAGCGCTTGTCGTAAAACTTTACGACGTGCAGTTCGAGCTCGTAAAATTTCATTTTGATAATGAGAATTCATTTTTACGAAGAGAGTTATCATTCCAAAAAAATGAAGTGGAATAACAGCAATAATTATAAGTGCTGTTGCAATTGTTACTGGTTGTAAACATGTACGTTCCATATCCTTTGGATAAATGACACCTGCATCAGGATTATATTCTGTTGTTCTAGTCGTTGATGTTTTAGCTAAACACGAACAAATTCTCTATGAACATTTATTAGGAAATTTTTTTTTCAATTTACCTGTAGTATCTGACGTTTATTGTTGTTGTTGTCGCTGAAGTTGATGTTGTGGATGTTGTCGTCGTTTTAGTTGTTGTCGTATAAGCCGGAATACCAGTTGTTGTATAATGTGTGTTATATGTTTTAGTACCTAGAAACTATAATACGAAAGAAAAAATTATTTACTTAAGTAAGAAAAATATTAAAATAGACGTTTAATATTAATCAACGTGAATCAGTATGATTGTTTACTGTTTATTTCTATAGTACCGTCAGTATACGCTGCGGTACCCATAAATATCGACTAGGTATACTGACACCAAATTAACAATTTTGGTATAACGATGGGTATATTGCGATATAATGGTCACGCATAAAATAGTCGATCGTTTAAGTATCAAACTATCGGCGATTTTTGTCCCGTTTGAATCATATAAGCTTCTTTCCAAAAACAAATATGGTTTGCGTACACGACTAGCAAGCTCATACGAAGTCTATCCTTGTCGCTTTTAAAATTATACTCCAAGTTGTATTGTTTTCATCTGTATAAAAATCTTTCTTATATGATTCATAGAAAATTACAATGTTCCATTATGAGAAGATGTGCTCGTGAATATTTCAATTTAAAGATTACTAACAAGAGAAGGTTTACAAACGTAAATCACTAATCGAACGGATTGTTTTCCATAAGTGAAATCTGATGAAATTAATCGAAACCTATCTCGTTTCATCCTCATGTGTTATCCTACCCAATCTAAAACTATTTTACTAAAATT